TTTCATACACACAGGCAGTCTCTCTCAAAGTTGCTGCAACACATTTAATAGGCTCAATATCCATTCTAATATTTTCTCTCTCTCTTTCATTTGTCGTGTGTGTGTGTGTGTGTGTGAGAGAGAGAGAGAGAGAGAGAGAGAGAGAGAGAGAGAAACCTTAGATACAGCTCCATATCATGTGCACTTGCAAAGCCAGTAGGATACCAGCAAGGAGTAGTAAAGTGCAGAAGTCCCAAGTTGTTTAGCCAACCCAGGAGATCTGTGTCACAGGCCAGCTGAAATAATTTTTGAATGGCAAGCTAGTCAAGTGACAGATCTGGTGTGCTTTACCAGCTGTCAACAAGGAGCACTTGCACCATGTTAAGCACACAGGAAGTTGATATCTACCCCTAAACGTTCCAGGACCATGTGCACGTCCCATGGCAAATGAACCCCAGAAGTGCTCCACGAAAGCATCACCTGCACTTTCGAACAGCCAGCTGCCAATCAAGTTAAACCCATGATAGATGGAGCAGAGTGGGAAGAGAGGATTCTCAGAATCTCTCTCTAACGTTGGTTAACCCAATGCCGCAATTAACACACAAATACATAAGCACAACCTAAGAGCATTATTCTGCATGTAGTGCAATAGAGCTTTCCTGGAGAACTTTAAATGTCACATCTTGCCTTTGAAGACAAATGCTCTGCCCTATTCAGGGAAGTTATGGTGACTTGGGGATTTTCACACTGGAGGCTATTTATAGTATTCCTAGCTAGGGTACTGAAGTCATCGGCCCTCCCCTCAGCAATTTACTTTTCAAATAGAAGCTGGACCACAACTAAAAATAACAAAGTGTCCTAAATTATTGGCAAGCTAAAAGGTGTGCCATGACACTGCCAAAAGCACTATGCCCTTATTTTTGAAGATCCAACATTGCCCAGAAGTAGAAATGCGTCTTAATCATTGTGCAAGATCAATAAACTAGAAAGCGTAGGAACTCAGCCATTGCTGAATATGGTAAGCCTGTTCTGAATTTTGCTCAACCTGGGAATGAACAAATCTGTCAAGACTTGTTTAAGAGCCATCACACAAAGCCTGAAGAACCAAAGTATGGGGGGCAGGGAGTGTCCTGGATTTACCTACTGGCAGGTAGACAGCAGGAAGCCGCACAAACTTTTAGCTGAGTAATGTTTGATAATCCAGCTGTGTGTCTTGGAGAAAAGTTACTACTGTATGTATGGCTACAGAGATAGTGTTCTTCTAGGCTTCGTAATAAGAAGCTTCACTGCAGGCCTTCAGCATTTGAAGAGCATACCTTTAATGTCTGTCAGATTGATGGTCCCATCTCTATGAAAAAGATCCAGATTTGTTCATGCCCACACAAACCTGTTAGCCATCTGTAGCCCAAAAAGCAGGCGTGGGGACCTTTGTAAACCAACTTCCATGTTTCAGAATCTCCTTTGTCTGACTATTTGACACAGGCAACCTTGCAAATGACTATTTATAAGCCTGAGCTGACACAAAGCTACAACTAGAAAGACTGAACATAAAAAATTACGGTTCAATTTTAGAACAGTGAAGCCAGATGTCTGCAGAGCAACCGCCAGCTATAAACAGTACCTAAATTAAGCCCACAGAGCAAGAAAAAATGCCAACTACTGTACATCTCATGAAGTGGGCTCTTTCAATACCAGTTCTGCCAGTTTTAAGGTGCCACAAGGCTCTTGCTTCCACTGCAACAGTTGTTAAGAACTATTTCCCACATTATTATTTCCAGTACGGTGTAGGAATTGAATCCCCACCCTGCCGTGTCGCTGGGCAACCTTGGGACATTCACTGCCACTCAGCCTAACCTACCTCTCAATGCTGTTGTGAAGACAAAATTGGGAGGAGAACTATGTCTGCTACCTTGATCCCCTGGACTAAGGTGGGATATAAATGTAATAAAATAAAATATTTTAAAATGCAAATGTAAAATAAGTGTGAACATGTTTATCCTAATCAAGGCGCAACAACCTGCTGCTCCCTGTTCAGGCAATTCCATGTTTACATCTGTACAGTGTGCGAAACAGCTCTAGGATGTCTGACCTTCAGAACTCAAATAAAATATTCCACCACCACAGACAAGTGTTTACGGAGTAATCAAATCTTCATAACACACAGGCAACCTGATAAGAGACATCAAATATTAACTATTATTACTCATGCAAACTGAGTATAATCCTGCACAACTCTAATCAATTAAATCTTAGAGAGGGAGAAACCTCCTCAAGGGAAGTGATCTGGGATTCACAAATGATGATCTTCTACCTTTCCCTGCTGTTTAGTAGTGCAATACATTTAAACCTGGAGTTATGAGTGGACAAGGTCACATAGAATAGTAGCACAAATCCCATCTTTCCAGTTCATGTCAGGAGAACAACTGAAGTGTGTAACTGTGCTGCTCAGCAAGTACTTGAACTACTGTGCAAAGCCTTATAACCAGAGCTTAATCTATCCTAAACAGCAAGTAAGGGTCCTACAATTTGTAGACTGAAGTGTATCAACTTTTGTCTCCAGGAACCATCCAGGAAGCAGAAGGAAGAGAAACAGCAAGCGACAGAAACATCCTGGTGGGCAGCCACTATTTGTGCTTGGCCTCTTCAAATACAGGCTTTTAAAAGGGTGTTGAAATCCTCTCTTCACTCCTGCCTTTCCTTAAGACTGTTAATGCCTTGTGAAATTCAGAGCAGGTTTTTCATAATAACTGTACACCTATCTGATGCATCTAATGCATGTTTCTTACGTATATTGCTTTGGGAGGGTTTGGCCTTAAAAAGCGGATTAATACTTTGAATAGAAGACAGACAGATTGCCACCTACTGTATTGTAAAACTGACTGCTGTGTTTTAATATAAAATGTTTTGTGCAGTTTGTATGAAAAGCAGTGTATGAAAATATTAAACAAAGATCACATAGCTGTAACTAGCAGACACCTGGCAGTGTATTGCTGTGAGGCACTGCTGCCCTGTCCAGGAACTACCATGAAACCTCTGCTTGTAACTTGAGATCTTGGGGGAAATGAGTTCGCATAATAAGAGAAGCAAAGCATGTGAAACTGTTGATCTTCAGAGATTGCAAAATAATTAAATTGAACCAATGTCAGAATAATGTCCAGCAAAAATATCCTATCCGCAGGAAAAAATAGCAAGTATCTTCGTGAGAGGCTGGGCGAGAGAGAAACAAATAGGTTTATTCTATTAGGGCACCTGGGACTTCATTTCCTGAATCAGAATTGCCAACATTATTAACAGTGATTTAGAAATCACCTTCTAAATCACCATCTCAAGGCCGCTTACATATAAAACAGTTAAAAATACAAAAACAACAAATCTGGTTAAAACAAGACTAAAACCCTAACAAGGGCAGATAATGTATCGTGTCGAGTTCAGCCCATTAAGGATCCCAAATTTCATTCCAAAAGCAAGTCCTTAGAGATTCCGATATAGGCTTCCTCTGCCCCAACACACAAACTTCCTCAAGCCTGGTGAATTCTCAAAAAACAGGTGGGGCATCTGCATAATTTATATAGGCCAGTGTTAACACTTCCTGTACCAAGTTTTCCATCTACAGTGCATACACACAGCCTGGGCATAGCTCAAAGCAGACAGCAGGATTTATGTTGGCTCAAGCCACACCTATCTACTATAGCAATGTTAAGACATCAAACAAAGCAAAAAGCAGAAAGCAGTTGTCTCCAAGATAATGTTTCTTTGGTCTCTGATAAGTCCTCCACGCCCATTCCCAGCCTGACAGTCTCCATCGCCTTAAGAGTACAGCAAACTCAGCACTGGAAAAAAATCCTAAAATATTCCTCACATTTATACTACTCTGTGCTGAAATCGACACCATCTCTTTGAAAGCACTTCTAGAATTTCACCCCTCTGAAGATAAGGAATCGACAGTCAATATTCATAGTCAGCTATTCCTCCATTTGAGGCACAATAGCTGGGAGCAGATACAGATAATGGCATAAAATGTGATACGCCGAAGGATAAAAGGACTCCATGAGCAAAGAGTAGCCTCAGCACTAGGGGGTGTGGTCTGAGTAAGAGCCCTCAGGCGATGCTGAGGTCACTCCAAGAAGTCAGCCGGGTGTGTTTTGGAAGATGCAGCGGTGGATGGGCAGGTGCCAAAGATGCCAGCGGACAAGAGTGAGGGGAACAAAACAGCGCAGGGCTGCAAAGGAATCAAAGGCTGCTACAAAAGGGGGCAGCTAGCAGTGCAGGTCAACGCATTAGGGGCATTCCTCCAGCCTGCGCCTCCCATTCAGAAAACAAAGCTGGACAAATATAATCCTGCTGTGCAGCTGGAGTGACAGGCGGGGCTGCTATGACCAGGGCAGGGAGCATGCATGGCAAAGCAGACACACTATATGAAGACTACCAGGGCCAAGCAGTAGCAAGCACTCAGATGGAGGGGAGGGGGGGTAGATACAGCACAAGGAACAAAAGATGACGCTGGGAGGCTGACAGCTATGGGGCAGGATGGGGAGGGGGGTCCTGCAGGCATGGTAGAAGGGGAGCAAGTGGGGAGGTGAGAGGGGGCGAGCCCACCTTTCCAGGATGGAGGGCGGTTTGTGGGTGGGATACACGGGGAAGAAGACACAGGGAGGGGGCGAGCCCACCTTTCCAGGATGAGGAGGGTGGTCAGGCAGGCATGGTGGAAGGGGAGCAACTGGGGAGAGCCCACCTTTCCAGGATGGAGGGAGGTGGGTGGGATGCACGGGGAGGAAGACACAGGGGTGGGGTGGGGGGAGAGAAGGGGAGTCATCCAGGGGAGCCACGAAGCGGGATCAGGCCCAAGGGGGCCCCCCCAGTCCCAGCATCCTGCTCCCCCCAGGCAGATGCCCCCAGTAACTGTGCCCGCGGCCAAGGGTCGCCCCTCCGGCGGGGGAGGAGGGGCCCTGACCCCGGAAGCGTCGGCGGGGAGGGGGCTCCCCCTTCCCACCCCACCCCTCTCCCCTCCCCCCCCTCCTCACCGATGGTGGAGATGAAGGTGGTGTTGAAGGCGTCGTCGGAGAAGCGGAAGAGCACGCAGGTCTTGCCCACGCCCGAGTCGCCGATCAGCAGCAGCTTGAAGAGCAGGTCGTAGGTTTTCTTCGCCATGGGGGCCCCCCCGCCGCGCCGCGCGCCCCTCCCTCGCCAGGCTCCGCCTCCAGAGGCCTCCCGCCCGCCCGCCCGCCCCGGACCCCCCTCACGGGCACCGCCGCCCTCGCTCGCTCCTCTCTCGGACGCTCCCTCAGGGCCCCGGCGGCGCTCGGGAGGCACAAAATGGCTGCTCAGGCGGCGGCGGCGGCCGGGATGGGCGAGCCTGGGCGGCGGCGCGAGGGCCCTGCGGGTCGGGGCCGGCGGCGGCTTCTCCTCAAGGGGCGGCGGCGGCGGCGGGCGGCAGCGCCCGGCTTCATACCCTCCCTCAGAAACGCCCGCGCGCGCGCTCCGGAGGCCAAGAAGAGGAGCAGGCCGCACGCAGCACGCACGCACGGGCCGACTGACTGACTGACTGACGGGCGGGCGGACTGGGCGGAGGCGCCGTGTGCGCAGGCGCGGGCCGGGCGGGAGCGCGCACGCCGCCGGGCCTCTCCCTGCCTTTCTTTGCCTGCCCGGGCGCCGGAGGGGGCGGGGCTGCGCGATGACGCCGACGCCGCAGGATGTCGGAGGGCAAGGCCGGCGCGCGCCCTCTCGCTGGCTCGCCTCAGCCGCCGGAGCTCGGGCGCATGCGCGCTGACCGACCCCCTCCCCTCGGCTCGCCCTGGTGGCTCTTCTAGGCGTGCGCGGGGAGGGAAGGACTTGCTCACGCACGCACGCACCGTACGTAACGCTGCGCTGGGCGCCTCCAATGGGAGAGCGGCGAAGTGACGCCAGCGGCCACGCGAGCTCGCGGATCTGAGGAGAGAGGGGAGGAAGTGGGCGGGGCGTCGGGCGCTCCCTGTTTCTCCCACTTTGTCTCCCGCGCGCATGCGCCCCCGTAAAAAGGCCGGTTTTCGAAAACATGAGGCGAAGAAGCCCCGCCCATGTCCCTCCCGGATTGGCTGAGACTCCTCGATCGCGGTTGGCCAGCAGCGGGCAACTCCAGGAGCCGCGGGGATGACGTCAAGAGGAGGGAAGAGGAGTGGGCATGCGCAGAGCGAGACGGAGTTCTCACGCCGCGGGGGGTTTGGCTGCGCTGCGCTCATTATGCAATTAGCATATATGCAAATTAGATATTCAGACTTGTGCTGCTGCAAGACCCTCGCACGCGTGGCGTGAAGCCTGAGCTCAGGCCCATTAAGTAGCAAATTGAAAATCAATTGATTTTTAAAATACTTTTGGTGTGTATCCATTTTATTGCATTTCTGTTTTCATTTTAAGAAAAATAATAATAATAATAATAATAATAATAATAATAATAATAATAATAATAATAATAATAATTATTTATATCCCGCCCTCCCCAGCCGAAGCCGGGCTCAGGGCGGCTAACAACAATAAAAGTAACACAGCATTCTAAAATCAATTCATTCTAAATTCAAAATCAAATTCATGGCAACCATTGGGCTAGAGTTCTGTGAGGATTACCAAAGGAGAGAGGGGGTCAGGCTGTTAAGTTGTGGGTGAACATATCAGACGACACAGCGATTCTTCAAACAGCTCTTGTTTATTCAGAGGCCAGAACAGAACTGAACTGAAGGGTTCAGCCAGCCTGCTTATATAGAGCTCCAGTACAACGCAACTGTAATAACTTTCTAAAACTATCCAATCACTGAACGTCACTTTCGATCCCTTATTTGAATAACTATCTACAGTATCCCCTTGCTGGCCCAGGGTGAGAACTTCAGTACATAACACAGGCTGTGCCTTGGCCAAAGGCTTGGCGGAACAGCTCCGTCTTGCAGGCCCTGCGCAAAGAAGTCAAGTCCTGCAGGGCCCTAGTCTCTTGGGACAGAGCGTTCCACCAGATCGGGGCCACAGCCGAAAAGGCCCTGGCTCTGGTTGAGGCCAGCCTAACCTCCCTGTGGCCCAGGATCTCCAAGATGGTTTTGTTTGAAGACCGTAAGGTCCTCCGTGGGGCATACCAGGAGAGGCGGTCCCGTAGGTACGAGGGTCCTAGGCCGTATAGGGCTTTAAAGGTTGCCGGGAGGGGAGCTCCGCCTTCCTCCCTAGTGCTGATCCTGGCTCAGTATCAAATTCATAGAACTGTAGAGTTGGAAGGGACCCCAAAGGGCATCTAGTCCAGCCCCCCAGGCAGAAATCTCAGCTGAACCACACAGGACAGGTGCTTTAAAAGTTCCAAGGAACCTGGGAGTCCGTTCCACTGTCGAACAGCTCTTACTGTCAAAACGTTCTTCCTGATGTTTAGTCGGAATCTCCTTTCTTGCAACTTGAAGCCATGGGTTCGAGTCCTACCCTCTAAATCAGGAGACGACAAGCTTGTTCACCCTTCCATGTGACAGCCCTTGAGATATTTGAAGATGGCTCTCCTATCTCCTCTCAGTATCCTCTTTTCCAGACTAAACATACCCAACTCCTTCAACCGTTCCTCACAAGGCTGGGTTTCCAGACCCTTGATGCTCTTGGTTGCACCTTCCAGTTTGTCAAAATCCTTAAATTGTGGTGCCCAGAATTGAACACAGTATTCCAGGTGTTTTCTGAGAAAGGCAGAATAGAGTGGAACTATTCCTTCCCTTGATTTGGACATGAAATTGATGTTGATGCAGCCGAGAATAGCATTAGCTTTTTTTGCTGCTGCATCACACTGTTGACTCATGTGAAGCTTATGTTCTGCTAAGACCTTTAGATCTTTTTCACATGTACTACCGGCTGGCCAGGTGTCACCGGCTCCCTCAGCCTGAAGTGAGATGAGCACCACATCCCGTGGTCGCCTTTGACTGGACTTAACCGTCCAGGGGTCCTTTACCTTTACCTTACCCCCATCTTATATTTGTGTAGTTGGTTATTCCTGCCTAAGGGCAAAATCTTACGTTTGTCCCTATTGAAATTCATTTTCTACATTTGGCCCCTGCTCTCCAATCTGTTAAGGTCATTTTGAATCCTGATTCCGTCTTCTGTGTCATCTGCAAATTTGATGAGCATCCCCTCAATTCCCACATCCAAGTAATTTAGAAAGATGTTGAACAACAACGGGCCCAGGACAGAACCTTGCGACACCCCACTTGTCCTGTTATTCCGGGATGGCGAGAAACCATTAATAAGTATTATTTGGGTTCGCTCAGTCAGCTAGCTACAAATCTACCCAGTAGTTACCTCATCCAGCCCATATTTTACCAGCTTCTCCGCAATCATTTCATGGGGGACTTTGTCAAAAGCCTTACAGAAATCAAGATACAATACGTCCACAGCATTCCCCTGATCCACCAAGCTTGTAATTCTGATCAAAAATAAAGAAATGAGCATCGTCTGGCATGACTTGCTTTTGAGAAACCTAGGCTGTTTCCTGAAGGAGTGAGTTCTATAGTATGAGGCTGCTGGACAACAGCATGGATGGTATACCCACAACATCCATTCTCTCCCTTCCTTGACCGCACACCAGGGGCAAAACCTTCATCCAGTTCCTGGTTTGTGCCTCCCGAACCGTCTCCACCTACATACAGAATATGTAACGGGCTTGTTGGAACATGACTCCCTGGTTTGGTTACGTGTCGCTTTTTTATATTTTGGAACGCTGAGCTGTGAATCAGGAACTCCCTGGTTCGAAACTCGCCCAAAGCTCAGCAATGGCCCACCTACAAATATGTCTGGATTTTTCAGTCTTGAAATGTGGCAACAGATCCTCTCTCCTGCCTTCAGCCCTCCGCCACAACTGAGATTCCTGCATTGCAGGGAATTGAACTAGATCAGCCTTTCTCAACCTGTGGTTCCCCAGATGTTGTTGAACTACAACTCCCATCACCCCTAGCTAGCAAGGCCAGAGCTCAGGGATGATGGGAGTTGTAGTCCAACAACATCTGGGGACCCACAGGTTGAGAACCGCCGGACTAGATGATCCTCTGGGTACTTCCCAGCCATACAATTCTGTGAACTGCAGGATGGGAGATGCTAGATCCCGTGGACATCCAATGAAGCTGAACGTTGAAGATTCAGAACAGATTAAAGGAAGGACTTCTTCATATTGTTGAACTATGGAACTCCCTGCCACAGGAGGCAGTGATGGTCTCATCAAGTTGGATGGCTTTAAAGGAGGAGGAGACAAATACATGGAGGAGGACAGAGCTATCAATGGCTGCTAGCCACAATGGCTATGCTCTGCCTCCACTGTTTGAGAAGAAATGCTTCTATAATTCTATGATTCTATGAATACCATTCAGTGGAAACCGCAGGAGGGGGAGAGTGTTCCAATCCTATTACCTCCTATAACTCTCCTGGTCTGCCCCGCAGAGGACCTTAAGGTCCATGAACAACCATAGTTTAGAGGTCCCGGGCCCTAAGGAAATCAGATTATCCTCCACCAGGGCCAGGGCCTTCTCAGTGATGGCTCCGACCTGGTGGAACGCTCTGTCCCAGGTGACCAGGGCCCTGCAGGATTTAACCTCCTTCTGCAGGGCCTGTAAGATGGAGCTATTCTGCCTGGCTTTCAATTTGAACTTAGCCTGATCTTTTATTCCCCTTCCTTCCCTCCTCCTCCCCTTTTTATGAAGATTACCCGCTCTGGGACCCTACAGCTAATTCTCCCCTGGTCTACTCGCTGGACCAAGTAGGACTAACTTAGCCAGCTAGCCCTGGTGATCATATAATGTTTATTGGATGGATTTCCACCCTAAACTGATTTTTGAATTCTGAATTTATTGTTATTCACGTTTTATACTGTATTTTATGCTGTTTTTTGTTGCATCAATTAAGTGTTTAAATTTGTTGTTAGCCACCCTGAGCCCGGTTTTCTGAACCGGGAAGGGTGGGGTATAAATAAAAAATTATTATTACTATTTATTATTTCAGGATTGTCTGATGTGTTATTGTATTTTTAATATTTTGTTGGAAGCCGCCCAGAGTGGCTGGGGAAACCCAGCCAGGTGGGTGGGGTATAAATAAATTATTATTATTATTATTATTATTATTAGTCAGGGTCAGCCACTGTGAGAACAGGATGCTGGACTAGATGGGCCCCTGGCCTGATCCAGTAGGATCTCCTTATGTTCATATATGCTACATATGATTATTGTTGCTTCCAAGAAGACGTGTGCTCTAGCAG